TATATTATGTGTGTGTGCATACCATCATAAAGTTAAGATGTTATTTTTACTAAAACGTACATATTGTGTCGGGAAAAAGTGGAGTTTGGGGGTCGGCCCGGTCTCTATTTCAATTAATCCCATATGTTCTGTTGTTCACTTTATGCCGGTCTCCGTGGGTTCAATTGACCGCATAAAGTGGAGTTACACTATACAGTAGAGGAAGGTGAGATCATGTCCACAATAGTCAGGTTATTAGGTAGCAACCCTAATAATCTTCAAAAAGCACCGCAGCAGTCGGTAGTCAGGTCAGAGGGTAAGATGACCCAGCCTTCTCACCAGTTTGTACATACCATTACTCAAATTCATGTTGACGGATTCGGTTGAATGCTTCGATATGTTTAATGAGACTAGATTCTATGATGTTCCTACTATCAATTGAATTACAAGGTAATATTGAGGAGGCATTATCCCAGTCAATGCAATGCTTGTTATACCTCAAATGAACAAACAGAGCATTGGATTCCTGGCCTGTCCTAACACTGTATTTGTGTTGTTTAAGTTTAGTTACAAGATCTTTACATGTCTGGCCTAAGTAAAACATATTACATTCCTTGCAAGGAACTTTATAAATGCAGCCAATTGTATTGTTGGGGGAGTTCTTGATTAACATTTGTTTAACAGTGCATGAGATTTTAAATGCCACATTGACGTTCCAGGTTTTTAGTTGTAAAGGAATGTGATTTGAGAATTTGCAGTCCGGAATTCATTGATGAGGAATATATATATATATATATCTATAATATTGGCTCAAACCTTAAATACCCTAGATCTTTCATAGACAAATGCCTAAACACTACTAAGAAAACTTTTTATAGAACTGATCCCAAGCCCACCCATGACCATAAGAATATCTTAATATTACCATTTCACAAAAATTTCTCACACATTCCTTCACAACTAAAAACCTGGAACGTCAATGTGGCATTTAAAAACTCATGCACTGTAAAACAAATGTTAATCAAGAACTCCCCCAACAATACAATTGGCTGCATTTATAAAGTTCCTTGCAAGGAATGTAATATGTTTTACTTAGGCCAGACAGGTAAAGATCTGGTAACTAGACTTAAACAACATAAATATAGTGTTAGGACAGGCCAGGAATCCAATGCTCTGTTTGTTCATTTGAGGGATAACAAGCATTGCATTGACTGGGATAATGCCTCCTCAATATTACCTTGTAATTCAATTGATAGTAGGAACATCATAGAATCTAGTCTCATTAAACATACCGAAGCATTCAACCGAATCCGTCAACATGAATTTGAGTAATGGCATGTACAAACTGGACAATTTTGTAATTAAGAAGATTTGTAACCAGGTGAGAAGGTTGGGTCACCTTACCCTCTGACCTGACCACCAACCGTTGTGTGCTATTTAAAGATTAGTAGGGTCATTACCTAATACCTGACCATTGTGGACCTGGTCTCACCCTCCTCTGTATATATACACCTTGTTTTGTACTTCTCTTTAGTCTGTACTCACCCCTGAAGATGTGAATTACACGAAAGCGCTTGGGAACTTCGTGTTTTCTTCTTTCCTTGTGGTTATCAGCATATACCTAGATCACGCGCACCTACAGTGATTTACTTGCATATATATATATATATATATATATATATATATATATATATATATATATATATATATATATATATATATATATATATATATATATATATATATATATATATATACCTGTGGGAACAGGTCGGTAACCCACAGCGGGGCCTGGGGGACGAAAATGTAATAATAAAAATAATTACAGGTATAATAATAAATAATAATTAACAAAAATGAATGAAAATATATAAAAATAATATTAAAATTAATAAAAATAAGTAAATAAAATTATAATAAACAATGAAAATGAAATACTAATAATAACCACAAATAAATACAAAATGAAAAAAAAATACAATGAAGAGTGAGAAACCCCCTGACGGAGACACGATGATCCTCCCCATACTGGCCAGATATTATGTACATAACATTGATTATGTGTTAAAGGAATATCCTTCCTTCCTTAGGCTTTAGTAAGCCCCCTTTATAATATTTATACTGTATATACTTGTCACACTTCCCAGATGCTTCTGGTGTCATTGTACAGGGGTACCTAGTGACAGCACTAGGATCCCGCTTCCTCTATCAAGGAATAAACAATTGAAATTGAAATTGAGTGAGAAACGATGTACTCTACAGTATGTATGTTGTGTTGTCAATAGTAAGAGAAACAATTGAGACCCTGCAATTGTGTGTAAATGAGGCAGAAAGTCAGATAAGCAACCTGGGACTTGGTCACATCACATATGGCAGCAGGGTCTACCATTAGACAACACATTATGCTTCCAATATCTTCCCAGGCGGTAGTACCTCCCTGTTTGGTAGCTGCCTACTACCTACTTACTTTTACTAGCTGGTAAACCTCTTGGGCTCCTGGTGACCGAGTTTCGATTCCATAAAAGGTATGACGAAATAAACGTGGACCCTTGATTCTCTTGGTCTGATGGGTTTTCCTTGTCCCATCATTCTTCTGTTCCCTTCATTTTGGTGGTCCCTTCATTTTGGTGGTCTCATCATTCTCACAGTCATTTCATGCTCATGGGCCCAATATTCACATGTTCCCATCATTCTTCTGGTCCCTTTATTTTGGTGGTCCCATCATTCTCATGGTCAATTAATTCATGTAGAACCAGCCATGTCTTACATACTTAGGTTAGTTGATATCATAATATCGATAGTTAAGCGGGAGCCTAACATCAGTGCTAAGATAACACTGACATACCTGCGTATTTACCGTCACGTGGTTGGTAGGAAGATGTGGCAACAATGAAACTGCTATCGAGTGTTTCAGGTGTGGATTCCCAAGTGTGGTGGAGGTATATAAAGTGCAGGAAGAGGGAGGATCAGCCAGAAGAACCTCGTACGCTGTTGTACACTCCTCTCTCTACGCTCATACACCACACAAAGGTATGGATGTGAGACAGATAAACGTTGATAGTCTTTATGTACAGAAAGTGACAAAGATTAACCTTTTGAAATATATTATTCTGGCTGTATAATTAAGAAAGATAGAAAAAAATTATCCCGCAAACGTATAAGAAAAGTCTACCTTGAGCTGATCATAAAATTATTACTGTATTTACATAGTTCTGTCTGTCTCTCTTGCCGTCTATAGTTCTTATTCATCCTTCTCTCATCTGATCATACTCATTCACATGTTAACAATCTGCAACACAACAGATGAGGACCTATTGCTTGGTGCTGACGGCGGTGCTGCTGGCGGTCTACTCACCCTGTGTCGAGTCCTTCACCCCGTGTCCTGATGAAGTCGCCTCTCTTTGTCCCCTCACACCTGGACAGAACCCACTTTTCTTCGCCCATCCAAACCATTGCTCTATGTTCTGCGAATGTGACCATGGTGGTGTCGCCTGGCAGCTGCAGTGTGGTAACAGTCTGTTGTGGGATGATACAATCAAGACCTGCAACTGGCCCCATAATGTAAGGGAACTAAGAGAGAGAGAGAGAGTAATGCTAAGAATATATAGAATACTCGAAAGGGAGACTGAGCTCGAACAATCCATCTGTGGTTTTTAAACATTGTTCTGACTAAACATGTTTTTGTGTTTATTAATCTATAGAGATGACATAAAAGAGACAGGGGGCATAATGAAAAAGAACTTCGTCACATGATTAAATTACACTATTTACAAACAGTTGTAAGAAACTATGTACTGTATGTATATCTCAATATTTATTTTTTTGTGCTCCGTAACCGAGCCGAGCTCTTGGCTATAATACATAATATTATATATTTTAAGTACGTCTTTGTGAAAATCATCAATTATTCACAGTAATTTTTATTGTGGAGAATATGTACAAAATTAGATTAAACTTATAGGATATACTTTCTGACAGGATCCATAGATACGGTCACTTATGAAAAATTAGGGCACAAAACTGACATTCAAAAAATACTATTTATGTTAACATTGTGCTCCATCTGGTGCCTAACGAACGTGTAAGTTTGTATTTAAGGAAGAAAGATTGGGTATAATCTCTATGTCGCCTTTGTGCTTTGTCGTAAGTTTAATACTTGGGTCCATTCGTATGAACACTAAAGGTTCCTGCGTGTCACCTTCTTATTAATGTGACTCTAATGCTGTTGTGTTTCAGGTGGACTGTGGCTCACGACCCACTCCTTAATTCAGACGGTAGAGGAATTCTCGAGGCGCCTTCAAACGCCAGAAGACATGGGAACCCTTTTCAGCCTTCAGAAGCCCACCAAACTCTACGCCCTTGTCTAGAAAGAAAATTTTGAGTATATTTCAATTATCCTTAATTATTGCAGTGTTACATGTATGTTTTCTTAGGAAAATGAACATATATATATAAAACAATAAAAGTATTTAACTTTAAGCGTTTATTGATACTATATTAATATTTTTTACAAGTATTAGCCCATCTGGGCACAGGCCACTGACCCACATCAGGGCCTGGGGGGCGAAAATATAATAATAATTAATAATGAATAAAAAATAATGAAAATTCTAACAAATAAAATAATAGCAATAATAATAAATAAAAACCATAAATAATACAAAAATAAAAAATATATCAAGAGTGAGAAACGACATACATTATATATGATGTGTTGTCGACAGTACAAGATATAATTGGGACCCTGCAATCGTGTGTAAATGAGGCAGAAAGTCAGGTCAGCAATCTGGGACTTGGTCACAATTTTTGTGGTGGCAGTAGGATCTACCATTAGACAACTATACTGTATAACATAGATGGTTTATATTTGATGTATATTTTACAGTAAAAAGAAATTATGTAACTTTTTACAACGTTATTTTAATACACTTGAGCTCAGCACTTTTACCATCAGGGTTTCTCAGACATGAGAGTAAATCTGGCTACACAAATCCTCTCCAGAATTTTTGCTATTGGAATTTTATCCCATAGCACATTAGGTGAACTACCAGCAACAGCTCTTCATGCAATACAGTTTATTGAACATGTTATCAGTTTATTTGACATGTTCAATAATTGCACAAGCATCATTTGAAAGAGCATAGGCGGCAATTAAAGTTTTTTTTCATCTTTGAACATTCAAGTATAGGAAAATATAACTTATACCCAGTCATGAAAATTTTGTGTACCATCAAATGTACATATTTATTATGTCAGTGGTTGGATGTATGGGTGCTGGACAAAACACCCCAGTTAAGGTGCAAAGAAGGACAAAAGCTCCCAATTTTTATATTAATGTTTCCCAAGGTCAGTAAACTCCTAGCCTCTGGTGGGAATATATATACTGTCCTGTCCTGTTTTTGTGAGCCTTGTACTGTAGTGTTTTTAAGGATCATGTAGTATATCCACCCCACTCAGCTCCACCTCAAGTATCTTCACCTCAGCTCACTTCACCTTATGAGACTTTTATAGCTGTATAATTAGGTTAACAAAAATGAAAAACAAATTAATGCTTCTTATTTTACATCTTTATTAATAGGTTACCAAAAGTCATGGTTGGCAAAGACCATTGGTTTTTCTTTAAAAAAAATATTATGCCATTATGTTGGTTTTAATAAGCTTGAGGTACTTTTAGCCCTTTTAATAACTCTTTAATATGCTATTAATCATAAGCATTACATTCAGGATGATTTAGCAATCATTTATAGTCTTTTTCATCTCAAAAACTCACTGTACAAAGGCCAAACATAAGCCTTGATCAGTCATCCAGTCTCCTCCTACATGTTTAAAGGCAAAAAATAAGTTCATATTAATGCATGAAAAAACTATTTTCCTTTTACAGTTGAAAGTCTTAAAGAATTCATTTAAGTACAGTTGGAGAGAGAGAGAAGGAGAGAGAGAGAAGGAGAGAGGGAGAGAGAGAGGGAGACGGTCAGTGTCAACTTGGTTCCCCAGGACCTATATACAGTAATACATCATCTGAACACATTAGAGTCTAGAGGCTCAGAGACCAACCATAAACAGAAGCAGTCACCAGTTATACTGAACAGTGGCAACTTGGCTCCTTTATAATCAGGATGTGAGGTGTGTGCAGACCTGTAAGAAAGCTTATTATTTTAAATTTCACCAGTGTATAATAGTTCACATCAATGTATATATGAACAATCATGGAGACATAACACATCCCTTTCTAACACCCACATTTATTTAAAACGTTTCACTTTCTGTCCCATTTACTCTTACTGTTGCCCAGCTTTTACTGCATATGATAGTCTTCTTCCCACCCCATACACTTGTAATGCCTCCCACATAACACGTGTCATATGCTTTTCCAAAGAAAACTAATTAAAACCAAGCAAAAAAGCAAATATTAAAAAACATTTTTTTTGTTTGGTTTCAACCATTGGTTTAAATCAGCCAACCCTTTGAAAACCATAAGCAACGAGTAATTTGCGTTTGAAAGGTAATTTAAATTTTTTGATGTCATTTGGACAAGTAATTACTGTATACAAGTATCAAATTGCAGACAGCAGATCCTTAAACAGCATTCTCAGAAGTACTGTATATAGTAGTAGTTCGGTATATTGACATGTTAAACAAAATCAGTGATATCAAGATTTTGGCTGGAAGGGTAAACCTTACTCCTTATATATATATATATATATATATATATATATTTATATATATATATATATATATATATATTTATATATATATATATATATATATATATATATATATATATATATATATATATATATATATATATATATATATATATATATATATATATATATATATATATATGGTAGTCCCTATTAGAGGTCTCATGCGCCATAAGCTGGTTGAATGTTTAGTGTGAAATATAACAAAGTCTAGGACTGCTTAGCATCCTGGGACCTGTGGTAGTTAGCTCGTTGGGTTCGAATCCTATATATATATATATATATATATATATATATATATATATATATATATATATATATATATATATATATATGTTATATCTCTATAAAATTGTATTCAGGTATAGAGGAACTGTTTTTTCTTCCTTGTGGTTATATATATATATATATATATATATATATATATATATATATATATATATATATATATATATATATATATATATATATATATATATATATATATATATATATATGGTGGTCCAAATATTATATTTGTATATACTTTTCCACAAGGTTTTATTTTTGGCTCATTAGGTACAAATGCATCCCAGAAAAATTGGATCATTTAAGTATATTTAGAGGTCAATCAATGTCCTTTTTTTCCATTTAGTACGTAAAAGGATTTTTGGAGCTAGTTAAACACATTATAAAATTTAATTGTCTTTTATTCAAAAATTTATAAGTTTTACTAAATTACAAAAAATTCAAATAACTCAGAACACCAATAATACATTCTTTATTTGTATCCTCATCATAGTAGCTTTGCCATGTTGGTAACTTCTGCGATGAGCTGCAACAACCTGTAAAAGGTATTGCTTTTTGGTCCTCATTTTGCGTTATAGATTATAACGCTCTTTGAGAGCAATTGCCCTCTCTGCGCTGTCATTCATTATCTTCATATTTATCGCAGATCTCTCATTGTGATAAACACTTCATCGTCTTTCCATGTTTTGGGATCCTTATCGGAAGTAAGGCTTTTCTTTTGCCATCTGGTGTAAGAACATCAAAATATTCTAATGTACGCTCAGTAAAAATGAGGCCATTACTGATAGGAGTTTCATCAGATAGGACAATACGCCTTGAAAAGTCCTGTTTCTTTGGGCATGGAAGTTTTGTACCATATTCTTCTTGGTTTCGTATCGATCCTGTCATCAATTAAGTTATGACCGATAAGATGTTCTGATTAGGATACCAGAGATGTCGGCTAATTTTGCTTGTGCTGTGTGTGCAACTTTCATGAGGATATTCCTTTAAACCTTCATTAGGCTGCAAACATTGAATGGAGCTCCAACAGCCATTGGTGCTTCATGCCAGAATCTTACATATTATGCTCTCACAAAGTCACAAAGTCTGTGATATTGTTTTCTTCCGTGTTGATAATGAATTGATGTTTGAACAGATAGGATTTTGAGGCATAGATTCTTTTGCCATCCATCTGCATGGTGTGTAGGACCAGGAACTCGAAAGGAAACCTTACTACTTGGCAGTCCACCAAGAAACAAAGAGCTAGTTCTGAAACTCCTATAATCATCTCGTGGCTGATTATCCTGCAGGGCTACTGCAAATATTCAGCAACTCTTCCTTAGAATTTGAAGCATTGGGTCCTCAAACATGCTTTCTGGTGCTGGAATGTCATTGATTAAATGGCCTCCACTGCTTTTGAGCGCTTAACAGAATAGTCTCAGGATTCTAGTTGACCCAGATCAAACTGAAGACATCGCTAGCATAATTTCGCACATGGTGTCTGCATGCTATCTAAAAGTGTTCCTGTTCCAGTTCATCTTCAATGCGGAATGCTCACGATGTAATCCTGTATTGAAGCAGTAGTATCAAATACAAGTCCTTTAACCAATTTCTCAACATTCCATGATATAATTGCTTCCAAATATGCTGGCCTGTCTTCTCCATTCTCTTTTTGGTGCTTCTAGCAGCTTCTTTGTCCATTAATGTCACTATAAGGCAATGCGACTAGCAGTTGTGTTCTTACGTCAGGAAGGAGTTCGTCCCAATGTGGTAGAAGAGATTCATCTGGAGAAAATGATTTTCGGTCTGTTTCAGCTGTTTGCTTACGCCCACTTGCTTTGTACCTATATACATTGAATATACCCAATATAATGTGTTGTGTATATTAAGACTGTATCATGGTGACAAGAAAATTCAGTCCTACATACAGTATAATATGCAAATGGATTGACTCTAAATGTTAATGAATATGGATAAAATTTTAGACCTTATCTATGAACCAAATGGACAATTTTAAGGCTTGTGGAGAATATATTATTACTTATATTTTTTACCATAGTTTTGATTTCTTATATTATATATATATATATATATATATATATATATATATATATATATATATATATATATATATATATATATATATATATTCATCTCTGTACCTACTGAACTACGGTGTATGCTCACTTTTCCGTGTGTGTGTTACCCTTTACTTTGGAGGCGGTTGTGGTCTCTCGCTCGCCATTTTTGGGATCCAACCTCCCCATCTCCACCATCCCCATTGTTGTGTAAGCGGCGAGTGGGTTGCGC